TCCCTCTTAGAAATCTCAATGAAGTATTAGAGCAGTTTTTTTATCATGAAAATTCCTAGTGAGCAATTTTCATAATTGCAATTATTGCCATGCAACATTTATTTGCTGCAAGATAACTCTTATGCAGTCTTCGTTGCTGCATTTTGTATGCGACAAGCCATCATTTCCTGGTATTTTATGCGAATCAATAATCTAACAGCGTCTCAACCTTTCTTCTATCAAGAAGTGTAACTCTTACTGCTGCATTCGAAATTTTTTTATGTCAGATTGCATGGTAATGGTTTTGAATGAAAGTCAATCAAAATTGTCACCTCAAGTAGCAGCATGTCATTTGATGTAAATTTATTTCCTTTATCTTTTCCATATGTAAATGTTATTGTGAGAGTAATAGATGAAATACGCTCTTTTAGCCCTTTGAGTCTTGTTATCTTTAAAAATTCAACTTATCTACTCATTTAACTTTAGTGTGCATGCCTCCTATGATATTGGGTATGAAATGCACTATTTTTTGTATTTTTTTGGTGAGTTATCTTACTGTCTTTTTGTTTAAAATTTAAATAATATTGTGCTTATATATATATATATTTTTTTTTTTCTCTATGAATTTCAGGTGACATTCATGGGCAGTATGGAGATCTTCTAAGGCTTTTCGAATATGGAGGATTTCCTCCAGAGGCCAATTATTTATTCTTAGGGGACTATGTAGACCGTGGCAAACAAAGTTTAGAGTCAATATGCCTTCTTCTTGCCTACAAAATAAAATACCCTGAGAACTTTTTTCTGTTGAGAGGAAATCATGAATGTGCTTCTATTAATAGGATATATGGATTCTATGATGAATGCAAACGGCGTTATAATGTGAGATTGTGGAAAATATTTACAGATTGTTTTAACTGCCTTCCAGTGGCAGCTCTTATAGATGAGAAGATACTCTGCATGCATGGTGGTCTTTCCCCTGATTTAACAGACATGGATCAGATAAGAAATTTACCACGTCCAACTGATATTCCTGATTCTGGTTTGCTTTGTGATCTTCTTTGGTCTGATCCTAGCAGAGAAATTAAAGGTTGGGGGATGAATGACAGAGGAGTCTCATATACGTTTGGTCCGGATAAAGTGGCTGAATTTCTTATGCAGCATGATATGGACCTTGTTTGTCGTGCTCATCAGGTGATTAATTTTTTAAATCCTTTTTCCTGTAGCCTCGAAAGAATTTTTTATTTAGTAATTTTGCTGTCTTTTGTTTGACTACATGCTTTCTTGAGCAGGTTGTGGAAGATGGATATGAGTTCTTTGCTGAAAGGCAGTTAGTTACTATATTTTCTGCTCCCAACTATTGCGGTGAATTTGACAATGCTGGTGCTATGATGAGTGTTGATGAGAGTTTGATGTGCTCGTTCCAGATTCTGAAACCAGCTGAGAGAAAGCGTTTTTTGTAAAACAAGTTTTGATGTCTGTGTTTTCTGTTCTCTATGAATTAATTCCCAGGTTAGTATGCCTTTATACAAATATGCAAGAGAAGGTATAGTATGCTTGACATCAGTTTTATATAGGATTCGTTGTCACGTATGATTGTGTTTGGAATAGTTAAATACTTTATATTATATTTCTAAAATTAATATGCTGTGGGGCCTTTATGTTGCGGCATCTTTTGTGTTCGATATTGTTCTGATTCATGACATTTGAATACAGATGTGACATAAATTCTGGAGTGCCCGGATATGCTGGATTCTTGAATGCACGTTTTACAGTCAGAATTTCGGGCTATTGTCTGCTCCTAATGCGCGAAGTACTGTGCTTCCGTTTCGAAGTTTTTACTGAATATTTTTCTTGGTGCAATTTATGATTCGACTGTGTACATACACTTGTAGATTGTGGTGCACTTGTTGTAGATCAGTCAAATGCTGAGTTGCGCCATACTTTAACGCTACTGTTTTAACCTTTAATTTGGTAATTTCAACCTACATTTGGTTTTCTATTTGCTTAAGTCAGCGGCCTGCCGGTGATGGTGAATGTGACTTGTTGAACTTAAAATTGTATACATGAAATAACTCTTCATATTGCTTTCTGTATGATTGAGAAGGCTACCCGAGATTGTAAGAACTGTGTGGGCCGTTTAATGTAATTCGACGTTTGCCAGAAAGCATTTGTGGATGTGGTACCAACTTGAGTTAATATGTGACCTTGATTGGAAATGAACACATCTCAAGCTCCTTTCTAGTCATTACTAATTGTTCTTGCAAAAGTATGAATGAATTAGTCGAAGTTGATGAAAAAGATAGTTTCATTGGCTAGCATTGGTTTCCAAAGGTAGATGAAGTGCAGTGCTACCCCTTCTTTAAACCTCTCCGGCGTATAGAAACAAACTCGCAGGCTCTTAAAGCACACAAATGAACTAGAATTGTGAGATACTCTTGTAAATTTCGAAGAGTTGCTGTTTGATGAGTATGGCAGCCACATATTTAGCTACAATGCGCGTTGAAGGGGATAAGATTAGTTTCTCAAAATTTCAGGGATTGCAATGGCCCATTAGTTTCTCAAAATTTCAGGGATTGCAATGTTTGGCCATGGCACCCAAATTAGTTAGAAGCGTACACAAGTTCGGCCATTTGATGGTTTGGTTCAAAAAATTACAAATATGCAACCCAGATCCAGCCCGATCAAACCACGGGCTCAATTCAAGGCCAATTCTGGGCCGGGCTAGCCCATGGCCGTGTCTAAACATCTCTTTCTCAAGAGCCAAACTAGTATAATTCAAAGGCAACCCTTGGAATCCCTTTGGGGCAAGAGTTCTCCCTGCAGGAGTTAGTTTTCTTACTAAAAGAGTCAAGGCAAATGCTGCTCAAGTCTAGTAAGGCTACAATAAACTTGCACCCTTTACATGCAAAGAAAAATTTGATTCCCTTTTATCTACCCAAGGCTAAAATTTTCAAGAAATTGCTTATTAGTAGTGTATTAGTAGTGTCTTCGAAGTTTTAAAACCCTTTTTTATTTATGATAGATTAAAAGTCTCACAAAATGAAACCTTGTATCCAAAAAATTCAATTCGGAGAGAAGATTGAACCAACACCAAGAATGGCCAACTCAGTTTAAGAACATCACATCCTTTTACAAGACAAGAACGCATCCAAGGAGTTCATAGGCAAAAACAGTAAATATCCATGAAGCCATAAAATCAAACTCAAATTTAATAATGGTCAAGAACTTTTTCCTCCACCAACAATAGTCATGGTTGAGTGACAAAAGTAGACAGTATCCACCAAACTAATAATATTAAAACTTGCAAAATAAGATCACACTCGATCAAAGAGAAAGGCGGGATATTAAACCCGGGGGGCTGCGGGTGCTCCACCAGCACGTGGTGCTTGGCCGGGCCTGGGCTGGTCATCCTGTAGATGAAGGAACCCATAATGCAATGAATAAATAACGGGAGACCAAAAAAATGTGAACGAGAATGCAGAAAGTTGTCTAAAGGAGAAATATGCCAAACATAATATAACTTAGCATGAATCGATAATAAATGAAACAAAAAGAATTAAATTGAAGAAACAATCTTGTAGACAAGCCTTTTCTACCTAGTAGAAATGTAATCCAGCATCAGTCAAATATAAAGCATTGTACGGACAATATAGAAATACAACAGCAAACTAAAAGAGCAAACTCATAAAGATTAAAATATTACAACCAGAAAAGAAAAGAATACTAACCCTTGGACGAATAAAGCGCTTTGGAGGCTCACGGTTCCTCCTATCCGTGCGAGAGCGGACCCTCACCACTTTAGAATGAATGGCACACGAGACACAGTACTGTACCTTCACATATAGCTTGGGAAGGGTGTACGCTGTATTTAAAAAAATAAAAATAAATAAATAAATAAAAAAGAAAAAAAAACTAGGATCACTAAATGCTGTTTCTCAATATACTAAACTAAAAAGTTAACGCAGCCAAAAAATGGCTCGGGTACACAAGAGGAGCTTACTGTCGAAAGCACAGGCATCCTGGATGTCCCTCACAGCTGCTTGCTCAACTATGTTCCTCACCAGAAACCTCTTGATTGCCTTGTCCTGTCATACAAATCCATTGTAAAGTCATTTCTAGTAGTTGATTTATTCACGAAAAATCTTGGCAAAGCCTACAAATTGAGATCTACATCAAGAGAATTCAATCATGATTGAAATCAAATAGTACAGACACATCCATGTAATGCACAATACATATGCTGATCAAGGACTTACTTCTGGGCATGTGCAGAAAATAAAATCAGAACCAAATTGTGTCTACAACATGATCTCAGGCTTCTTGGAGATTATAAGACCAAAAGGTACAATTTAAATCACAAACGTGGCATGAGAAACATATCATAACTGTGTGATAAACCACTCACAAGATAACATCTGAGATGCAAGGATAGATAAATGATTTGACTTTAATAATCAGAAATGGCGTCAGCATATTTTAAGCCTAATCTTGATTTAGAAGAGAAAGTTAAGAACTAAGTACGCCATGACTCTAATCAACAGCTTCAGAGTTCAGACCACCCAAAAAAAAAAAACTTCCTAAAACAAGTCTATACTTCGGTTCAAATCTACCTAATTTTTTATAAGCTAAAAAATAATTCAGAGGATCTCATCTGGAATGCGTAAGGACAGATAAATGGATTTGGTTCAAATCTACCTAATTTTATATGAGCTAAAAAATAATTCAGAAGATCTCATGTGGAATGCGTAAGGACAGATAAATGGATTGACTTCAATAATCAGAAATGGCATCAGCATATTTTCAGCCGAGTCTTGATTCAGAAGAGACAATGAAACTAAATATGCCAAGACTCTAACCAACAGCTTCAGACCGCAACAAAAAAAAATCCATATACATTAAGGAGCTCAAATCTGACATCGTAAATTTCTAACAAATCATTCAAGGACCCGAAAACCATCTAACAAATCAAGCAATTCATTGTCACTTAGACAACCTATTCATCTAACTGAAATCGGAAAAAGGAGAATTGAAAATCGGAAAAGGGAAAAACCTTGGGGCAGCATTTGCCGCAGTTGGAGCAGCGGATGAAGTTCACATGGCCGCGGCCATGCTTGTTACGGCCTCCGTTCCTTCTCTTGAATGTCTGCAGGAAATCAAACAGTTCAACACTGTAAGTGAAATCAACAGCTAAATGTAGAACATAAAACGATATTGAATAAATCGAAAGCAGAATTTTCGACCATTGTTGATCGATTGGTCTTGCTCTGCGGAAGGGGCGGCGCTCAAGCAATAAAATGGTTAGGGTTTAGCACACTCCGATTTAGCATTTATATAGTCGGGCTGTTGGGGGAAAATTAATTTTAATTCCAAATTAATATTTTATATTATTTTTATGTCAGCAAAATTGCCCAATTGCCCCCAATTGACACTTAAATGTGAACTAGAGTTGATATCATGCGAATATACTATAAATTGACATTTTATTATTTATATATTATTAAATTATTTAAGATAATATTATAATTTTATCCAACACAATATATTAAGTCAATAGTAATATAAAGTTTATCTGGATAATTTTTACTTTCTTAAACTTATTTTGTGAGTCTCGACTATTTTAATATTGATTCGAAAGTCCTAGCCAGTGATGAATCCCCAGTAAGATCGGAGTATTGAATTCCTCCTCCCATATTGACCATGGATTATGGATTCCAGACCCGGTCAACGACATGGAACCTAAGCGAAAGAAAAAAAGGGTCAACAAATAAACCATTCTTAAACTTCGTTTTCTATTTATGAGTTTATAAAATATTATAAAATCTAATATATAACATACCAGGTCGCGTGGACCGGTCGCCCTAGCTCGGCAGTAGTCGGTGGTCCCTCGGATGCGTGCAGAACAGCTGGGTGACGTGTCGACTGTTATGAGATCGACCTCAAGATACTTGAGGTCGGCTTGTGTGGTCTATAAGTATCGACCAATGGGCATTAAAAGTTAGCCCAACCCCAAGGGGTTTAAGGTCGTATTGTCGCGAGTATATGGCTCGGATGAGGTGCTGTGATGAGCTCGTTCTGTCTTGATGGTTAGTTCGGCTGTTCGAGGACCGAGCCACAACTCGGATGATTGGGAGACCTCTAGAGCACGACTACGTGAAGAACCACATCAAAAGTAGGTTAGTATGAGTCGAGGCCGATGTGACGACCTCGATACACTTGGGCTCGAGGAATCCAAAGGCTAGAATGATGACCTCGGATGGGGCCTATGAGTCATACAAAAGGAGGAAAGAAAATCCTTTGTTGATAGGAAGTTTATATCCTTAAGGGCTAAAGATACGGAAAATCTAATTAGTTAGGAATGTGGATATGTGAAAGTATCTTTCCTAACTAGGAGTCTCTTAGTCACCAAGCAACCGCAAGTATAAAAAGGATATCTAGTTTTTTATTTTACACAACACGCAGACACGCGAGAAATATACTGTTGTCATATTATTGTTGAACACAGACTGACTTGAGCGTCGAAGCCTTTTTCGCCGGGACCCTTCCTATCTTCTTGCATTTCATCGGAGACGGTGAAGCAATTCGGGTCAACGTATTGTAGTTCAAACCGGATAAGAGGACATTTTGAGCAATAAATTGGCGTTGTTTGTGGGAAAATCCAGTCTTTTACCGACTATAAGAGACTGATTTTCTCACCATATTAAAGTAAAAAAGAAAAAAAAATCATGGCAGGAGATAATTCTAAGAAAAACTTGATAAAAGAGATGGATGAAGCATGGACAAAGAGGGTGTTCGGATCAGGACCACCACCAGGGTGGTCGCAATCGGCTAGGCTTACACCGAAAGAAACATTGTCAGCACCCGACACGACACTAACACCGTTGTCTGGTACTCCTTGGGGGCCGCCGTCGGAGCAAGCAGAGGAGATGAACCAGGGCAGAGCGGGTGGCCAAAAGGTAAGGGACATGAGGTTGGCAGCTAGGTCAACAAAGAAGTAAACAGACAGGCCGGCGTAGGCCCCAGACCTCAAGAACAGGCGAGTCACTGAGGCGACAGGAAAATTGTCTCCTTTAGGGGGGCAAGACCCACTGAGAGGTGAATAACCTCCCCCAGCTCCCATGGAAAACCAGGTTCTTCATCTGACCAGAGTAGAGCTGAATAGGATCATAGCAGAAGTTGTGGGCCAAGCGCAAAAGACAGATCAGCGAGCTTCGCCCGATCCGAGCGACAACTACCACCCCAGCACCAACCATTGCTCTAGTCCCATGGATATCCATTCTCGGAATAAGTCTTGGAAGGGGTCTTACCCAACAATTTTCGAGAACTAGGCTTATCTTAAGACAGCTCAACGGACCCAGTAAGGCATCTGAGGTCGTTTGACAATCTAGTTATCCTGCATAGGTACAGTGATGCTATTAGCTGTCGAGTTTTTTTTTTTAAACTTTGAAGGGATCGGTGCAAGACCGGTTTCACCAGTTGCCTACTGCTTCTGTCCATGGCTTTGAGAGGTTTAGCTCATTGTTCATGAACCAGTTCGCGAGTGTCAAGAATCATGAGAAAACGTACCTCTCACTAATAAACATACAACAGAATGAGAGCGAAACTTTGCGTCAGTACCTGTCAAGGTGTCCGAAGGAATGTGTAGAGGCCCCTTCAGTGTCAGAAGAAATCAAGGTTGGAGGTCTCACGCAAGGCCTTGGACCTGAAAAGTGTAGGGATTCGCCGACAAAGAGGCCGAGAGGTCTTTCGACGAGCTCTTGGAAAGGTGCTGCAAGTATGTCAACATAGAGGAAGCATAAATTGATTTCCTCCAAAATGACAAGGTTAAGGCAAAATAGGTGGAAGAAAAACCTCGTTAGAACGATTGCGAGCATTGCAAAAATAGTCCAGTTCAGAGGAGCGATTCAGGGGGCCGAGGTATGAGTATTACAAGCCCTTGAACGTACCTCAACATAAAGTCTTCGAGTTATGGAGAGACGGGGAGAGACATGACTACTCGCCCGACCGAAACCCCTACCTCAGAGGAAAGATTTTTTCTCTGCTGGAAAGGATAGGTATTGCAGGTATTATCGAGACTGGTCATTCGACCAATGTTGAACCAATAATAGCAATGGAAATATATTAATATCTTCTTATAATTCATACTCATGCATAGATTTTATTCGCACATGTAGTGAACTTAAAATAATCATGAACAAAAACAATAATATTAATTATTCTTTCATTTCCTTACAAATTAGGCAATTTTTAATTTTCTTATATATAGAACAATTTTTTTATTCATTTCAATATCTTCAAAGTTAAAATCCATTATAAATTATCCCCTATTGTTTGTAACATGCTCTAATGATTTGAATATAGAAATATGTGTTGGACCTCTATGGAGCGTCCTATGTTTACATAAATTAAATTTTATCCAACCTAACTATAACATTCCAATTCTTTGTAATCTCATGTGTTTGGTTTGTTATGTTTCATAAGTTTATGTATTAAATTGTGATGCTTTGTAATAGTTATTGTAGATTGAATTTTATATCCATTCACATGATGAATTTTAAGCTATAAAGAAATTTGTCAATTTAAATAAAAAATAAATATTTTTTGCAATCAAAGTTTCATATATGATACCTAAAATTAATGAAAAATGCTACAAGTACATAATAAATGTACATAGTGGTGTACATAACACTCACATGGAGTGAGCTCCACTTCATTTTTTTTGGTCGGTCCCACTCAATGTAAGTGTTATGTACACCCTGTACAATATTATGTACCTATAGCATTTCTCAAAATTAATTACCTCTAATGGCGATTCTTAGTTTGCTATTCACTACATATATATAAATAAAAAAGTTATCTATTTTAATAAATAAAAATTAAACTATATGCACAATTTTAATTAAAAAATAATAATATAAATTATTATTAATTAAGTAAATTCATATATCAAGCCTATATTATACATGTGTTAGAAAAATTATTATAATAAAGGATGAACGAATCTTACGAGCATATTTCAAACAAAAACAAAATCCAATTTTTTTTGAAAAAATTATTATTAAAACTTTGTTTTTTTTTTAAAAAAATCAATTATAAAATTGTACCAATATCCCCTATATATAATTTCCGAACAGAGTCTAAGTGGCAGACTCGCATGCTTCATGATCCTATGTGGCAAATTTTCATGTTTTGTTATTTCGCTTAGATGTATTTTAATTACTCTCGATCAACAAATAATCAGGTTTGGAATAGTTACAAATATACTAGATATTTATGGTTCTTTTTAAGAGCATTAACTATGATACATTTTCTATTATAGACGTGATTTGTGAGGCGTACTTTTTTCTCCTCAATCTTTCTTTTTTTCTCACCCTTCTTTTAAAATTATGAAAAAATTACTAACTTAAATTACAAGTAGATTTAAAAGTTAATAATTTTTTTATTTATTATCAAAATTTCATACATAATATATCAAATTAATCATATCTTGGTGAACTTCGATTTGACACCTATATTGTACATACAAAATAAATAAATAATTATATTTATTTTTATAATAAATATTATATTAATTAAAAAATAAAATTATGTAAATCAATGTAACTATAAAGTTGTTAAAAGATATAATTTTAGAAAATTATTATAATATAAGATGTAAGTCGTATAAGTGATGTGTATTATTTTAAATATATAAATAGTAATATAGTTATTAAAAATATTTGTAAATTAAACAAATTTTTTATTACTATTTTAAATTTTAAATATAAATTTAGCAACAAACACACGGAGGATTGTACTAGTTAGTTTATGAAAAATGCTACAGTCCCCTTACGGAACCATTCCGTTGGGATTTTTAACCATTAGATGCACATGTAGATTAGTGTAGCATATGCATTTAACGGTTAAAATTCCTAACGGAATAGTTTCGTAACGACATTGACAGACCTAGGCAGGGGCCCGTAGGGGCACGGGCCCCTGTGCAATTTTTTAAAAAAATTAATGCATATATATTTATATTGTAAAATAATTACATAGAGATTTTCTTAAAATTTAAATTGTTTGCATTTATTTTGTATTTGTATTATGTTGTAGGCAACATATATAAATGAGTTACATCGATTTTCCACAAAAGTCAACATTGATTCTGATACACATTGAATTTTAGGTGTTCTTGAAATTATAATTATAAGTTTAAAATTAGCTTCTCAATTGTGTTTGTCATTGATTTTTTTAACTAATAAAATATTTATCTTTATTATAAAGAAGTCCATTGTAAGAATATCCAATGCAAAAGAAAAATAAATGTTGGTATTTGAAAAAGATATATTTAATGAGATTTGAATTTATGTAATTATGATTGATAATATATAAAAACATGTAGAGAATAAATATTATTTTTTTTTTCTTTTGCACTTTGTAAAGGTTACGTTTATACCCCTTAATCTTGCGAGTCTGCGTCTGCCTTTGCGTAACGGCACTGTAGCCTGACTCGTTAGTTTATATTAATGAAAAACGATTTACAAGTGCTAAATCCAGTCCTTAAATTTGGATTTTTCTCAGTCAAAGATGAAAGACTTATTAAATCCAAAGTCAAAGGGAAAAACAAGAGCAAAACTAAAAGGTCAGCCACATTAGAACATACTCCAAAGACACGAAACATCACTTCCCAAACACAAACATAGACATAATAATTTAGATTCATTAATCTGAACCATTGGCTTCACAAATATTCAGATCGTCAAAGTTGAAATACTGATCAATCTCCACTAACTCATCTTGATTCCTTGCCGGCATTGACACCTCATCACGATCGTTAAATCCATAGCTCGGCTCGACTTTGAGCCTCGACTGACCAATAGCCGAGCCTGAAGTAATCATCGACTTCCATTGGCAAAACCGATCGTTATTTACCTCAAACTTATGTAGTGTCTGGAGACAGTAGCCAAGCTGGCACGGCTGTCTCGACTC